AGACCAAAGAGCGCCAGATGGCCTGAAGAGGGGCCCGGGGGCCCCGCAGAATGAAACTTCTAGCTCTCCATCCCGAGATGGCCCCAGGAGGCGCCGAGGAAGCCCCGAGCGGCCCCAAGAGGCACCCAAGAGGCACCAAGGATGACCCAGGAGCGCCCAAGAAGCCCCTACAAGACCGCGACACGACCGCCAAGAGACGTCAAAACTGTTGCCCAAAAACCCCCGAGAGGCCGACCTCCGGCGCCACTCGAGGCACGCAGACGACACGACGCAAGCGAGACCGGGCCGGCACAACAGGAAGCAAACAGACGACATGCCTCTGGCAAATGCCTCAAGCAGCAAGACGGGCACCGCGCGAGGCGGACAGACGACGCGCCTCAAGCGGCCCTTGCCTTTCACCGCGAAAACGCACAGACGACGCGCATCAAGTGAGACTTGGTCGCCGCCACTAAACGCGGGCAAACGACGCGCTTCAAGCATCGCGTCGTCGGCGCCACTCGAGGCGTGCAAACAGAACACCTCGACCGGCGCATGACCAGCACCACTTCAAGCACGCGCGCAACGCGCCTCGAGTGGCGCGACATCCAAGGCCGCATACCCAGACTCGGGCATCGTCGACGTCGTCGCGTTGTCCTTCGGCCCCCGCGCGCGCTTTCATTGCGCGCGCCAGAGCAAATATCGCCGACACCCCCTTCAGCGCGGCCTCGCGGGGGCGATAGCGAACGACGGAGACGAATGGAATGGAAACGCTTTCGTCTACCGCATAGAGCGCGACTGGGGCGCCATCATTATCGCGGCGAATTCTCAATCGAGGTTCAGGAGACACGCGCGCCCTGCAGGGCACCAGCTTCACTCCGAGCACTTCGTTATCACGCGCCGCGCGAAGAGCGCGAAAGTCTGCGAAGCTGCGCCGCACGCTCTTGCATGGCTCCCTGTTTCGCATCAACGATTATCCGCGGCACACTGCTCAGAGCGGGCATCTGCGAGGCCGCATCCCCACTGACACCACTGACATCCACGACTACCCCGCGCCAACTTGCCCGGATTACGCCCCTGCTGAGCAGGAATTTGCAACAACCTCGAGCGACGGCCTCCCCCCGCCAATGACGCGGGAGCACACGCGCTCGAATGGCGACGCAAAAACAAACAATCCATTCGCCCCCATTTTATACGCATTGGTTTCAAAAATACGCCACATCTACGCGATAGATCCTGCGAACGACTTCTTGCTCTTCTCCGCCGTCAGGCCCACGCCGCCGTTACATGTGTTCTTCTTCGCCCGCACGGCTGCGCGGCTCTTCTCCGGCGCCGCCCCAACGCGCGCGCGACCGCCGGCGCCCCCGGCCACGCACGCAATAACCATCGGCCAGGTCTCGCACAAGATAAAATCTACTTCAAACAGTGACTTCGCCATCTCTTTAGGATTCAGCGACCCTGCGACGCCTTTGCAACTCGCCCTCCTCCAACTGCACCTTCCCCCCCGGCATTGCGCGCGCGCCCTGCGCCAAGGCACCGCGCACTTCGGGCGGCAGCAGTCGACGCGTTTCGACCGGCGACCTGGCCGCCCGCGGCTTTTCAGTTGATCCGTCTGAAAGCCCGCCCTCGTCTTCCACTTTACGCAAGGCGAACACTGCGGCTTGTGGCACGGCCCGCATAGGAACAGGTTGTGCCCGTGCACTGCGGGTGCCAGCAGGTCGTAGCACCTGAGAGTACGACCGCGCTTACTGCGATCCTTCCACTGCCCGAGCGGGAACTATTCCTGTCTTCTCCGTCTTGCAAGAAACGCATGTGCGCCGCTCCATCGGCGCCCCCCCATTGCAAGGCAGGCCCTGCAAAGCGTGGCACGGGAAACACGCGTCATCCGCCAACCACTTCGGGGCATGCAGAGAATTCAGCGGCTACATCGGCCCCTGGCAGCTCGCGCCCTTCATGCACTTCGGGCGTCTGCATGTCTTGCATGTTTGGCAGCCTGGCTCTCTGCACTGCGGGCGCCAGCATCCGTAGCACATGAGAAGACGATCGCGCCTGCTGCGATCCACCCAGTGTCCAGATGGGCATTCCGACTTCGGCTTGTCAGTCTTGCACAGGCCGAATGACTGCCGCTCCTCCGGCGCCCCCTCGCAGTCCAGGCAAACCACCCATCGATCTCGAGCTCGCCTGCTGTGCCGCATGGATGAGGCAAAGACTGCTGGCGACTTCTTCGAATGAATGCATTGGCACTCCCACGCTTCCTCATTTGCTTCGCAGTCAAGGCAGACGGCGCCTTGCTTTCGCCCTCAATGTTCCCACGCGGATTTGGAGTTGCCAGACTTGGGGAACGGGCAAGAGCAGTTGTTGCACGGGCGGTACTCCTCCACGTCCACATCGACGGCGTCCTCCACGTAGTCGGGGTTGTGATCTGGGCAGCGTCGTAGACAGCCAGAACGAAGGGTCCACTTGCTGCACTTCAGGTTCCAATTCGGATCTCCTTTGCCTCCCATCCTGCCAACCTGCGAGCCCTCCTTGAACCAAAGGGGCTACGGACATTGCCGCTACCCATTAACAATCCAATTGGAGGATGTGCAATCCGAGGCCCAACATCTTCTTCGACATTACTATTGCGTCTCGGGTTCCGTTTTGACGGCTCTGGCGCTCGAAAATAGCCATCGGAGGCCGAGATCGAGGAACAGCTGTCGGCTCAACAAATGCGACCCTCGGATCTATCGATTTCGTCGATCGTCGACATCATCGACGTCGCCGTCGCCGTCGTTGTCAACCTTGACGTCACCGTCCAAGAGGCCGTCATCGTTGTCGTCATCGTTGTCGTCATCAACCTTGTCGACGTCGTCGTCGACGGTGTCATCGTCGGTGTCGAGGTGGAAGATACGCCACCTTCCCACAGAACTCAGCATCGCACCTCTTTCCAATAAGATGTTCGGACCACAATTCTCGAGCGGACTGAGACCGTGGTATCAAAGAGAACCCCAAGAGGCCTCAAAACTGCGTCCCCCCAGAGGCGTGCCACGAGATCCCAACGAAAACTCAAGAGCCCACCCAGGTACGGTGGCGGGATGGGCCGAAGGCCACTAGATCCGCCGCCCCCTGCTTGCAGGGGTGCACGGCGTGCTGGATGATTCAGGTTTTGGTTTTGGTTCTTTTTCTAAAGAACTCCCCAGTGGGCTTCGGCCCGTCCCGCCGGCCACCCGCGCGTTTCCCAAAATCCATCTGTCAATGCCCAAAAACGGCAGTTTCGCCCGGGACATCCTCAAAAAATCGCGAAGATGGCCCAAGATGGCCTCCAAGTCCGCCCGAGATGGTCCAAGACGGCCTCCAAAACGGCCCAAGAGAGTCCAAGACGGCCCAAGACGGCCCAAGAGGCCCCCCAGAGGCCTCCCAGACGGCCCAAGAGGCCTCCAAGAGGTCCTCCAGGAGAGTCCGAAGAGGCCAAAATCATTGATTTTCCCTTGGTTTTTGAAGGATTTTGGCATTTGCGCCTTTTCGGCTCTCCGACGGCTCAAGACGGCCCAAGAAGCCCCCAAGATCGCCCAAGAGGCCCCCAAGAGAGCCCCATGATGGCCCAAGTGGCCTCCAAGATGGCCCCTAGAGGGCCCCAAGAGGGCCCAAGAGGCCTCCAACACGCCCAAGATGGCCTCCCAGACGCCCAAGATGGCCTCCAAGACGGCCCTGGAGCATTCCAAGCGGGCCCCAAGTCGGCCCATAGAGGCCCCCCAAACGGCTTCCGACGGCTTCAGACGTGCCAGGAACCCACCAAGATGGCCGAAGTTGGCTCGAAGCTGGCCCGAGACGGCCCAAAAAGCCCCAAAGATCGCCCAAAGCTTGCCCAAGAGGCCTCCAAGACGGCCAAGATGACCTTCAAGATGCCCACGTGTTCCCCGAAGGCTTTCCAAACCGATTCGGGGAACACGTGGTCCGATAGCTTGGCAGGTCTGGCCTCAACGTTCGGCCACATAGGCGCTTCCAAAAAGGCAGGGGGCGGCGGTGATTCGCCGTAGGCGTCTTCGATATGTAGGATGCTCCGTAAATCTATTGAGCATCACACGTATTGTTTGTATGTTCGACGGAGAAATCAAGTTCGTGGTAAAGCAATTTTGGAATCGGTCCCCTATTCGAGCGGGAAGGGTGCAGGGGCCTTGGACGCCCATGCCGAGGCTCTTCGAGCGGGGCTGACCATCGAAAGTGGCTGAGGATAAACCGAAGATGACCGAGGAGGCGAGGAGGCAAGGATGCAAGGGCACCCTTGGGAAATTGATCATCCCTACTACCAGGGTTGACTGTATCACCCCAGCACCTCCCGGCCCCCTGCTACACTGGCCCCTCCCCGTGCCTAGCTCCAGCACCTCCCCCCTCATGGGAGAGAGCCCAGAATCCAGTCGACTCGAGTCGGATCGGCGATGGAAAAGAATCGTACCTGCGGAGATCGGCAGCCAAGTCGGGAGAAGTCAGATCGGAGGAGATCGGCAGGCCAGCGAGGCCTCGATTGAAAAGTCGGAGTCCAAATCGGAATATGATGTCGAATCGGCCTCGGAATCGGAGTCGATCGAAATAGAGGCGAATCGAGTCGAAGGAGTCGAAGTGAGCCCTGCACTCCCGCTCCGCCTGCCCTCGCCCCGATGGGGTTCCGCGGTGCGAGGACGGGGGGGCAGCCTGAGGGAGGCGGCCTTCTGGAGCAGACGGGGGGCTCTTCCCGCGGGGGGCCGCGCCCCTGGGCACCATGCCCACCGCATCCTCTGGCAGGCGGCGGGTGGCAGGCGGCGGGGGGACCCTCGCAGAGGACCACACGCCCTGAACCTCTTGGGAAGGGCCAAGCGTGCCCCCAGGGCGACGCACCCCCAGCGAGGTGTCGCAGCGGCCACGGTAGGCGCCAAGACGCAGCCGCTGGGCGCCCCGAGGTGGGCCCCGAGGCCCCTCTCCAATACACATCTGTTCTGCGGCACGTTCCACCTCCCCCGACCCTGCCCCCTTCTTCCGCGCCGCCACGGGGGCCACGCTCGGGCCCGCACAGGATGGGCACGAAGCCGGAGTAGAAGGCGCCGACGAAGCCCATCTCGGACATCATCTTCTTGGCACAGCTTCCCATGCCCTGCCCAAACGGGGAGGTGGAGGAGGAGGAGGACCAGGAGGAGGAGGAGGCATCTTCTTGGCACACCTCCCCGTGCCCTGCCCGAGCGGGGGCCCGATCGGCGCGCGGCCCGCACAGGGCGCCCCTGTCCTCGACCTGCGCCCCCCCGGCGAGCTGGCCTGGCCACACCGCTGCTCCTGCTCCTGCGCGCCGGCTGGCGGAGCAGCGGGCGGGCGGGAGCTGGAGACCATCCCGCCACCGCGGTGCGGTGGTGCACGCGGCGTTGCTTCGAGCATCATGCTAAGATCAGTCTGAGTTGGTTGCGTGCGTAGTTGCAGATGTAACGTAGCACAGGCGGGAGAGACGGGCTTGCAGCAAGGCTTCCCAAACTCCACCGCCGTTTTTAGACTCAGAGGCACCGTAAGGGCCCGTGCTAGCAGCATGCATTTACTGTACACGCGCTGAGTCCAGAAAACTCTTTGTGTGAAAATTGGCACGAAGAGCGGCAGCATTTCTTTTTCATGTTGAACAGGACTCGCCGCAGGTGTCACTGCGGACGTTAGCCATTTGAGGCAGAAGGCCACCTGCCCAACAGCGGCTGCTGTCGGTCTGGGACGGCCTTTGTTCCGTACCCATTTCCGAGGATGCCCATGGCCCAAGGTGTCCCCCCCTCTTCGCGCCATTTCGGACGTCCTGGGGCCCTCTTGGCCCCGTGAGGGGTGCTGTGGAGGCCGCCTGGACGTCGCGGGGAAGGCTGGGGACACCACGGGCCAGGGGCACCTGTGGCGACACTCGAGCAAACGGCAGCCTCGGGGAGGCTGGGGAAAGAAGCGCGGGGGGGGGAAGCGAACTCTCCCCCCCTGCTGCCAGCTGCCAGAGGCGCTCTGGAGGCGGCTCTGGGATCCTCCGGCCCAGCCCGGGTGCCCCAGAATCTGGAAGGACCAATGAGCCAATCGCGCCTGCGCTCTCCAGTCGCATCGGAGTTTCATGAGCTACCTGGCCAAGCACATGCCGCTGTCGCAAATAGAATTCCACATGTCAACCCGCCAGGAAAAACGCACTGGTGTAGAAGTGCATCCGGGTCCTAAGGATGAATGATTTCCCTCACTTCTTTCCACCTTTTCCTCCTCCTTCTCCTCTTCCTCCTTCTCCTCCTCCTCCTCCGCCTCCTCCGCCTCCTCATCATCATCATCATCATCCTCCTCTTCCTCCTCCTCATCCTCCTGCTATTCCTCCTCCTCCTCCTCCTCCTCCTCCTCCTCTCCTCCTCCTCCTCCTCCTCCTCCTCCTCCTCCTCTCCTCCTCTTCCTCCTTCCTCCTCCTCCTCCTCCTCCTCCTCCTCCTCCTCCTCCTCCTCCTCTTATTATTATGATTCATAATATTAATATTATCAGTATTACTAGTATTAGTATCATTATTATCATTATAATTGTTATTATTAGTATTCGTATTATTGATAGTATTATTATTGTCAATAAGATTAGTAATAGTATCGCTTGTCTTCTTAATCTTATTATTATTAATAGTATCATTAATTATTACTACTAGTAGTAATAGTATTATTAGTATTAGTAGTATTGTTAATAATATGATTAGTATGATTAGTATTAATATGAGAATTAGTGTTATTATCATTATTCGTACTATTATTATACGTATGAGTAGTATTATTATGATCATTAGTACTATTACGATTAATCTTAGTGTTATGATTCTTAGTAGTCTTAGGATTCGTCTTGTTATTATTATTCTTCGTAGTAGTCGTAGTAGTAGTCTTCTTATTAGTGTTAGTATAAATATTAGTAGTCTTAGTATTATTATTATTAGTAGTCTTAGTATTATTCGTCTTAGCATTCGTCTTCTTATTAGTATTACTATTATTATTAGTATTCTTCTTATTATTAGTCTAATTATTCTTCGTCGCCGTATGATTCGTCTTCTTATTATTAGTACTCGTCTTATTATTAAAATTCGTCGTACTCTTATTATTTTTCTTCTCATTATCATGATTATTCGTATGGTTATTCTTCGCATTCGTCGTATGATTATTATTAGTAGTCGTATTGCTACGATGCGTATTATTACTATTGGTATTAGCATGCGTATTCTTATTACTATCATTAATAGTCTCATTCGTATTCTTATTAATATTATTATTATTATTCATCTTACTCTTCCTCTTCCTCTTCCTCTTCCCCTTCCTCCTCCTCCTCCTTCTCCTCCTCGTCCTCCTCCTCCTTGTCCTCCTCCTCCCTCCTCCTCCTCCTCCTCCTCCTCCTCCTCCTCCTCCTCCTCCTCCTCCTCCTCCTCCTAATCCTCCTCATCCTCCTCCTCCTCCTCCTCCTCCTCCTCCTCCTCCTCCTCCTGCCCCGGGGGGGCCCCCAAGAGTGGGGTCGGGCTTCGGCCCCCTGGCGGAGGCGGGGACCGCCGGGCCCTCGGGGCGACAAGCCCCCGCGCCCTGGGGGACGCCGCCAAAGTGCGGTTTCCTTCCCCCGGGGGGGTCGCCAGGTCCCGTGGCTTCCCCCAGGGTGGTGCTGGATCCCCCCCAGCGCTCGCCGCCCTGGGGCGGGACCGGCGGCTCGTCTCCGTCGTGTCGTTCGCCCGTGTCGTGTCGTGCGTGTCGTGTCGTGGCCGTTTCGTCCCCCCGTCGTGTCGTTTCGTGTCGTGCCGCTTTTTGGTTCGCTGAGGGCGGGTGGCGCGGCGCCGCGCAGCCCGTCCTTTGGGACCCCCGTCGTTTTTCCCCGCGTCGTTCGGTCGGACTTGCCCGCCGTCCGCGCGCGCGGGGCGCCGCGCCGCTGCGGCCGGCGCGGCGACACCCTGCGGGCTGAAGGCATGCGCGGAGAAAAAAACAACCC